TATAGCGACACTAATAAATGGATTTGTAGTAGTGTGGGATGGGGAACCTCATGGTGATGGAAGGGGATTTTGCAGGGGAGGAAAATAGGGGTGTGATATCCACACACCCCATTTTACTTCTCACACACCCTTCTAATTTTCGGTTGTCGGATCGGATGAATTGAAGAAGATCAACGGATAGAAATTAACAAGGGTGTGTGAGAAGTAATTTGGGGTGTGTGGATAGCACACCCCGGAAAATATTGAAGGCCGGTATACGATGGAGGGTTGGTGATGGGAGAAGTATTCAGGTTGTGAAGGATCCTTGGTTGCCCACACCAAGGACGTTTCGGCCTATTTCAAGACATACGAAGATGCCTAAGATGGTTGCCGATATGGTGTCCATTGGAGGTACATGGAAATGGGAGGTAATTAAGAGGTGTTTTAATGAAGACGAAGCACATATTATTTTGAGTATGTTGCTGAGCCAGTTTAGGTGTTCTGATAGTATCATTTGGCATTATACTCGAAATGGGGTATATTCAGTGAAGTCAAGGTATTTGGTATCGCAGGAGATGAATCAAAATGGAGAACTTGGACGGAAAGGAGTGAAGCAATCCAGTAGGGACGATAGCAAGGATGCGGTATGGAAGGCTCTATGGAGATTGAAGGTCCCTTCCAAGCTGTGCCATTTTGTTTGGAGAGGATGTCGGAATATTCTTGCAGTCCGTACCAATTTGCAACGGTGGGGGATCCACTTGGACACTAGTTGTCCTTTCTATGAATGTGAGGAGGAAACACAGGTACATCTTTTTTTTAGATGCCTATTTGCTCGTGTTTTTTGGTTTGGATCACCAGTCCAATTAGATACTATGGTGGTCGGAGATGATTTTATGGAGTGTTGGAATTAGTTGTGTGTGAAGTATGGTAAGAAGGTAGAGGTTTGTGCGCTTTTGCGATGGGTGGTTTGTGGTTTATGGAGAATATGGAAGTGTCGTAATAGTGTGGTGTTTGAGAAGATTGAGGTAGAGCCCAATGTTGCAATGCATTTACTTTGGCAACAATGGGAGGAGATAGTAGGAAGTGATGGAGAGCTGGTGTAGTGCCTAGTCTGTGGGCAGGAAGGGAGAAAGGTGAGTTCTGATGGGTGAGTAAAGCCGCTGTTTGGAACAATAAAAATTAATTGTGATGGAGCTTGGTGTAATCGTTCTGTTGTGGGAGGATATAGGTGGGTAGCGAGGGATTTTGTGGGCATTTTCAAATGTGTAGGCGGTGTGGGGAAGGTATTGTGTGGTTCGAGATTCATGGCAGAAGCAGAAGCACTTAGGTTGGTTGTATTGGCTTGTGTGGAAAGGGGCTTTGGATCTGTTCAATTGGAAACCGATTCAAAGGTCCTTGTTGACATGCTTCATAGAAATTTGCAACCAGAGGCAACCATGGAAGGTATTTTGTGGGATATTAATGCTATTAAGCAACAATTATGTTCTGTTGAGTTTATTTATACTCCTCGTGCCTGTAATGAGGCTGTGCATCTGGTGGCATTTTATGTCGTGTGTGTGTGGGGGGGGTGTTCATTCTTGGGATGATTTCGAGCCAGAGTGGCTGTTTAATACTCTGGTGTCTAATGTAACATTTTGATTTGTATTTAATATTATTCACTTTTGACAAAAAAAAAAAGGAACACTATTTTTTTTTTACCCAAAATAAAAGGTTTGTATTATCGACAAAAATAAAAAAAATAAATGACAAATACTAGTTTAACAAATCGAGAAAATTAATAGATCATCGGGCAAGCAACTGCCTCTATTTTTGTAATTTGGTGACATTTCTGAAATTCAGATACCATAGTTAACTACCAAACATAAATAGAACTGAAACAATAAAAAAGTTTATAATAAATAATGTGTAAGTGTATAATCTATAGTTTATTGGGTAGTAAACAGATATACCCGTACCAAATACACGAGAACAACTTGTAGGGAACAAAAATTCATCCTCATTTGGCATTTCATTATGACGAGTCATATGTAGGGAAACTTAAGCATAACACTGGACTAAAACGCTAAGGTGACAAAGAACTCATTTTACGAGGTCATCTCTAGTCAAAGGGCTAAGGCAACATTAAGCTCTAAAATTGACAAAATTAGTAGCTAATCAAAGGGCTAAAGAGAATAAGGCTAAAAGAATCAGACTAAGTTTGGCCACATCGAATGCAACATGTAGCCTCAAAGTAGACTAAGTTTGTAAAGTAATATAATATCAAGAGAAATCAATTATAGCCTTGCATAGTTGTAAATAAAAAATTTAACCCTAAAATAGTCTTAAAATTTGATGGGCTAAAACATAGTTAAGCACTATGTTTAGCCTTCCATTATTGTAGATAGCCTATGTTCTTTTTAGAAACACAAAAGTAAAATAATATCGCTACGCGTCTGTACACACACACACACACACACAAAGGGGATATTGCTCCTATTTTTGGCTTTATAAAAAGGAAGAGGAGTCCAGTGACGAGTGATATCCTCACAAATGTTAGATCATCTCTAATGGTGGGCTAAATGCTAAATTACCCCCAAATTCCCCCCCCCCCCAAACAATCTCCAACCCATGCTAAAAATATTGGGCTAAATGCCAAATGTTAAAGTTGGGCCAAATACCCCCCAAAATTCCCCCTGGTGCTACTGAACTCATTGGCAATTAGGCCAGTCTCAGCCCGGTCACGCTCCAACGCGCCCCACGCGATGCACTTGCAAACCTTTCCTGATAGGGGTGGGCCCCGCTGTCAGTCGTTTGTCGGCCACCCAAAAATCCCAACGACTATAATTTGAATCCAAGGGCTTGGTTTAAAGGATTGTTGGTTGATCCAATGGTCCATATTCAAATTTAATTTTTTAAATACGTTATTTTAAAATACATTGAATCCAACGGCTGAGATCGAATATAATCAAATCTAACGGTAAAAAAAAAGATCTAATAGCCCAAATTTAAATCCAACGGCTAAAATAATTTAAAAAAACTATTTAACTCAAAATTCACCCAAAAACTCTATAAATACCTATGTATTTGTTCAACACATCCACACAAAACTCAATTTTCTCCTACAATTCTTCCAATTTATCTTTCTACCATTTCTTTCCATTTCCAAATTGTTCAACATGGCAAGAGAGCATATTAGATGTCGTAATTGGACCTGTGAGGAAGATGTTGCTTTATGTTTGTCATGAGTTTCTGTTAACGAAGATGGTGCAGTTGGCACAAATCAAAATAAGAAGGTTTTATGGGATAAAATCATTGCAAAGTTTCAAGAAAACTACAATGGCGGCGGGCAGGATGATGGTGGTGTTTATGATTGGTGGAAGACTATTAACAAAACATGCACTTTATGGAAGAGAAGCTTGAAGAGAGCCATGGTTGGCATGGCTAGTGGAAGGAGTGCTACAAAAATTATGAGTTTTGTTCTTATTATTTTATTTGTCATGTACATAATATTATTTTGCAACAAATTATTTTTATGTATTTTTTGCATAGGGTGACAAAGCAATTGAAATTTACAAGATAAGAGTACCACCAAAAAATCAAGTTTTTAAGTTGAAACTTGCTTGGGACATCCTCAAGGATTGTCCGAGGTGGGGAACCGATGCGGACCAACAATGGGGAAGATTATTTCAACGTGAAGCTGCACAGACAAATGTTGGAGATGAATGTGTCGATGAAATGACCCCATCTCCTTCTTTTGCAAGGCCCCCAGGAAGAAATAAGAAAAAGGAAGCAAAGAGAAAAGGGAAGTCCAAAGATTCGATGAGTGGACACTTTGGTACCGAAATTGCAAAATTGAACGAAACTCATAATGCTTGCCAAGAAAAACGGTCCGAATGCGTTTGCAAATGAAGGAAATCTCAGATAGGGAGCAAATAGGTTTGAAATTGAATTCATGATGGAGGACCTCAGCAAATACACTTCAGAGAGGAAGAAGTTCTTACGTGGTAAGTAAAAGGAAATTTTGCAAAAGTCTGTCTCAAGTAATATGTTTCAAGATGATGAATCCTCTGAAACCTATATCCCAAGATTTCAACGAAGTCCATCACCAAGTGAAGATGGTGGATATAATTATGAAGTTTATGTAGTGTATGAATTATGTGCTTTATTAATTAAGTTTATTAATTGTCGTTTGTATTAAGTTTATGTAGTTTATTAATTATGTAATTTATGTATTATCGGTTGTATTCGCCATGGTGCTTCGTGACAGAACCACGATGGCTAGATTCACCATGGTGCTCAGATTGCATAAACGAGTTAACAAGTTCAACTTTGGCGTTGAACAATTCTGCATCCTCAATCTCGATCCTTGCTTGGTATTGTGTCATCTGCATTGTCATGCTACGCCTTCTTCTATCACCCATTGATGAGATATTGCGGATTTTTAGGAAATACAAACTCTTTGAAAGTTGAAAGATTGATGAATATAGAGGATGATTGAAGGTTGAAAGGTTGTGTGATTAACAAATATTGGACATATGTTTATATAGAGGATGATTGATGAAAGTTGAACGGTTGGTAAAAGTTGAAAGTTTGGTGTTGAACGGTTGGTGAATTGAAAGTTAGCCCAAGGTTGAAAGATTGGTGAAAGTTGAAGCTTGCTATGTGAAAAATTTAGTGATTTTTCAATATTTATCGGAATTTAAATTTTTTTAGATTAAAATGTTCATAAAATTAATTTACGATAATTTACATATTTTTTTTAAAATTTAATTTAAGAAAAAAAATCGTCTAAGTTCATTTTTTAATAATTCCGGACTAAAATTTTAGATCAGAATGGTTGGAGCAAAAAAATTATTTTTAGACTAAAAGTTATATTTTTCGGATTAAAATATTTGGTTTTTAACCCAACTATTAAAGATGGTCCAAGACGAGTGACATCCTCACAAACGTTAAAGAATTGGGTCTGACCCAAAAATTAATAACAAACAAAAAATAAATAATTATTAACTGCAAGGGATAAAAAATTTAATCCCACCAAAAAGCCCAAGACAACAGTAAGCTCTTCTTTTCTTCTCTTTTTCTTTTCAGAAAAAAAGGAAGAACAAGATCACAGTTTGTTGTGCTAAAAGTAGGAAAATCCAATCCGTGCCGGACTGTCCAATCCAGTCCAATCCCATCCTATCCCATCCAGCCTTTGATTCGGAATCGAAGTGAGCTCAGAAACAACCAATCAAATCATTAGAAATGGTGCTTCATGCGACAGAGGAAGCACCGCGTTTCACTTGTTGATGCGACGGCGTTTGGGAGTACGAGTGCGAGTGGGACTTCGCATTTGATATTGACACTGCAACAACAACCGGAGAAGAAGAAGAAGAAGAAGAAGATGGAGAAGGGTTAGTGTTAATTGTGGTGGATTTGGTGCTTAATGAAGGGCGGGGTTGCGGGGTTGCGGGCGGTAGTTATTCGGGGAAGCGGCGGTGGAAGGGGTTGGTGATTGATGTGTTGGGTCTGGTTTTTCTTTCCATGCTCGTTCCTCTTCTCTTCCTTCTCGGCCTTCACAATGGCTTTCACCCTCCCGGTTACACTCTCTCTCTCTAGATCTGTTTCTCTCAGATCCGATTTTGCTTTTGCAATGGTAGTTTTGGATCTCTCTCAAGTCTTGATTTGTTCTATTTGTTCATAATATGCAGGATATGTACCAGAACAACGAAATTCGCCTTCAGTAAGAAGTAGAACTTTGTTTTGTTAATTTGGAATTGTTTTCTGTATCCTACATTCTTGGTGTTGATCTGTTTTATTTTTCTTTTTCGAATTTTCGAATCGGTGTCAGATTGGAGGATATGGTACAAAAATCATCATAAATGCTTCTAATCTGTCAGTGGTAAACTATACTAGCCAGCTTTGTAAATCTAATTCACGGGTAGAAACACATTGGTGAAGATAAATTACTGATTATTTGGTTTCTTGCAGGGGGGTGGTTCGAAGCATGTAGATGATTTCGTGAAAAATTTCACACCAACCCTTTCAAAGGTTCGTTGCTTACTGCTCTGGTGTTAGGTTTTTGATGGTGCCGCTGCTTTTCATTTGATACAATGCTTAGTTAGTTCTAGGGAAATAGGCTTGTATATGAATCATCACTTAGCTTCCAGACAAATGCTACTGAAATGTATGATATTTATTGATAAGGGCAATGTTTACGTGTTAAAATTCTTCAAAATTAGACATTGTGTCTCGCTGAGATAAATTCTGCTAGGAATTTGTTTATCTATTTAAGAGTTGTGATTCTGGAAAATCTTAACTATTAATGTGTAAGGGGACGGAAAGAATTTACATACGGTATTCATCAACTTCCTCATCCACCCGGGTCATCTAAGAACTTTCAAGTGTTGGTGTGGTCCTCTAAAAAGTGTTAAAACTATGGGAAAATACAGCAATAATAGAAAATAAGCTTTGAAACATTGGAGTACTTCTACATTTTAATTCATAACAACAAATTTACGAGTCACATGCAATTAGCAGGTTTTGATTTTTCTTTCTCTATGTTTAGGCGTTGGCTAGATCCAATAACTGGATTAATGTGCCAGTGGGCTTTGAATTATTCTAACACATCTAAGAGTTCTTCAGGATGTGTTTTAGATTTTTTAGTTCAGGAGCTTGAGGAATAAACACTATAGTAACCAATAGACACTTCCTTTTGAATTAGGACAAGTACAACTATTTTGTTCAGTTACCAAAGATCATAAGCTTTTGATTGGTTTATGTGAATTGTACTTGATGGGGAAATCCGTGGCCCTATATTCCATGTTTCTAACTGTAGGATATGTGTACCTTCGGAGAATCTGAAAACTAATTATGGGCACATACAAATTTTTTTCTGTAAGTCTTGGCATTTAATCTGTCTTTGAGATGAGAAAATTAAAGATCCACAGTGAAGAAATATCTTTATAATTTACCATACTAGTATCTCCATCTGTGGTTCTTTTTATTTCGCGGGTCTTCCCAGTCTTTCATAATTGCTGCCTAATTAACAGAATTTGTATCTTGGGAACACCTGCCTATCCAGGTTCTTGTGGTTTGGGTTAAGGCAGCCATTCACTAATCCATGATACGAGAATTAATTTTTTGACTCTCGTGTTTGGCATTTAAGGCCTATAGGAACCATTGCAGCAATATTTTATTCATTTGGTCTACAAACACGGTCAATAGTTTGAGTGATGTGATTCAGGCATCTCAAGTCTTCAATGACCCGATTGATTTCTCTACCTTTATTTGTTTTGTGCCAGGATATACTAAACAATATTTCACTTGAAGCTATTTCACATAAAGCTGAAAATGAAACCAAAAATATCAGTGCCGTTTGCAACAATGAACAAGCCAGTGTCATTCACAACAATGAACAAGCCAGTGTTGTTCACAACAATGAACAAGCCAGTGTCGTTCTCAACAACGAATAAGCCAGTGTCGTCCACAGCAATGAACAATCAAAAGGCCTGTTAATGTTCAATGCCTTCTAAGGTTTGTCTATCCTTTTTACTTGCCACGTAATAGATTCTAACTTGAATTTTGTTTTCAGTAACTGCAGGAGTTTCAACTCCACCTCATGATGGTCCGCACTCACTTCCCGTTGAAAATGTATGCATGCATCGGCCATCTTTTTTCCTTGGAATCTGATTAACATGGTAACAGATTCTGTTCTTGTATAGCTATTGCCTTCTGCTCTGTTTAATTTGGATCTTTGTGGCAGAAATCTAAAGCTTGTGACTCAGCTCAAGTCATTGATTATGCGAAAGGTGGTGTGGATCAAAGTGGAAAATCATGCGAGTTGAAGTTTGGGAGCTACTGCCTTTGGCACGAACAACATAGAGAAGACATGAAGGATATTATGGTGAAGAGATTGAAGGATCAACTATTTGTGGCTCGAGCATATTTTCCTAGTATCGGGAAACTTCCATCACAGGACAAGTTGTCTCGTGAGTTGAGACAAAATATTCAGGAGGTGGAGCGTGTTCTTAGTGAAAGTACTACAGATGTTGATCTTCCCCCAGAGTAAGTCATGGAAACTATTCGTTTATATTCCCATTTTCCGCTCATTCAATGACAACAAAAATGGATTTGTACTCCAGCTGTTACCATCTTCAACCTATTTCCCTGGGTTTCACAGTAATTTTACTAATTTGCCCCTGATGTGCACGTGTTGGTCATCGCGGCTTTTCCATTTGTTTCCAGGACAAAGCTTTTTGCATTTGTTCCCAGATGAATCCCTCCATTTTCCCTTAAATTGAAACAAAAACCTGTGTTCATCCAAATCAACCCTACAATCCCGAAACCAAAATTCATCCAGATCGTTCCAATCTTCAACCTCAAATCGAAATCATAGAGTATTGTGAATGGCTCACCTTCCCTATCTCAAAAACGAAAACATCTCAAAACTTAGCCTTCCCTCTCGCATCTGAATCCCGTTCGGATTCGAAGAAAATTTTGAAACCCAGAAAAACCATGGGTTTCCTGGTGAGTTCTTCAATTTTAGGAAAGATTGATGGGTTTGGTTCCTGGGTTCTCTTTTATTTGTTGGAATTTTTTATGATTTTAATTCTTGAAATCTGGGTTTTGTTTGTTGATTGGGATAAATTCTGATCGGGGAAGCCCCTCTGCTTTTCTCGCTTCTCATCTCTTAGATCACTTCTTTCTCTTCCATCCCTCCCACTGTCTCCGACTCTTGACCTTTTGCATGTGTATTTTACTGTGGAAAAGTTTGAACTTGAATGAATATTTTTAGTTATTTCTGGCAATATTGCATAATGGTTTGAATGTTTGCTTGATTTTGCACTTCCATTTTATACTTTTGTTCGTTTTCTGGCTGGTTGGTGGTGTTTTGTCATTTATTTATACCTGCATACATATCTTTGCTTTTAAAGGTATGCGCGTTTGGGCACGAACACCATCTCTTACATATGAGTTATCCTTGAGGAGATGCATATGAATTGGATTGCAGCTGGGGCAACTATTTTGTCGCTGTCCCAGACTCCCCAACCATGCCAGGCATGTAATTCATTATTGGTACGTTAAATTATGTTATGCATGTTAAACACAAGTTTTGGTTTTTTTGTTCCGTAATTAGCTATGTATTTGCCTTAATTTGCATGTGTGTAGTGTAGATAATCTTAACCAACATTATAGAATCCATGTTCTGTTGAAAATTTTGAATGTTCTGAGATGGAAAAGGTTATGATAAATTCGAAGGTAGAAATTCTATTATGAGTTCTCCAGTTGATTTGGGGCGGGTAATATAAACTTTTATATAAAGTTGATTTGGTATTTATTTATTTTTTGGATGCTTAATTTCATCTGGAAACAAATAGTGTTTATCATCACCAAGTGTTACAAAGCGTATTTTAAAGTGTTTTTTAACCAATCTATTGTCGAGTTTTCTGGCGGGTTTCTTATTTCATTTTCCGTTGTTTTGCAAGAAACCAGAGCCTCTCCATGCTCAAGAGTTCCACAGGTATGTCACCACTCTTTTACATATTTCTGCTTTGATTTCCAATACGAGGTTAAAGCCTTTGATTTCCAACAAATTTCAGTTAGGTAATTTGATTTCCCTCAAAAGACATAAATTATGTGTTTTCTTTAATCATTTTGTTATAATATTCAACCCATTTCAATTTATTACCAACCGAATCCTAATTTGTTCAATTTCTTTTCATCTGGCGATTGAGTGTGGTTGTTTGCGTTCTCTTTGAGGTGAGATAAAGTTTATATCTGTAAATAGATGTATCTTAACAACAACCATGGGGGTTGCTAATGACTTTTATTCACTAATTTTTTTTGTTTTTTTTCAAGTGCTTCTCAAGAATTTAATCCTTTTTGTCATTATTTATATTGCAGAAATTACAAGCTATGCTACAATCTCAGTTATACTATGTTTGGATGGAGAATTTCTAAATTATCACAGAATTTTAAATGACGGGAATTACAATTGGCAGTAATTAAATTCCCCGTTAAATGAATTTCATCGTTTGGATGTTGGATACATATAAATTACAAAATGACGGGAATTCCAAATTTCATTGTTTCAATATTCTCTAGAATTTGTATTAAATAGAGGAATACAAGTTTGAATCAAAAGTTAAAATGGTTATAAATCTATCACTCCCTCATACGAAATATACCAATCACCGTATCAGATTATTCGATTGCAGAAAAAAATTAGAAAAGGATACATATCTGTGGAGATGGCCATTTGAAACATAATATGTTGCGAGCAGTATCAAAAGGAAACAGAACTACAGACGCAAAGGGAAAAGTAAAATAAGGTATGAAGGCAAGCTAAGTCTAGTCTGTGAGTGCTTGCTTACACTTATCCATTCGTTGTTTGGATTGATATCAAAAGCTTTCATATGACTGCCAAGAGGAAAGCCAAAGGAGATGGGTAAAAGGAAAATAAGGCAACTGCCATACTTAACTGGGAAATAAGTTTGCCACAGTGCTTCTATTGAAAACACAAAGTTTAATTGGTGGCAGGCGCTGCCATATTAATGCTTGAATGTTCGGTTCTTTCAAGAATTGCTCAAACTAGTTGATGCACGAAAAATGATTCTGCAGTAACCATTGATGCCAGAAACAGACTAAATTTCGTCTTCGGCAGTTATTCCACAGAGTGCATATAGTTACATTCTAATTTTACTTAAGAAAATATGACACCCATATCTTTTGCAGGCAACCCCTCAAACAACTCCTGAGTTGATTCCATATATCCCTAACCTTGGTATAAGCAACTATCAAAAGGGAACGGAAACAGGTTACTGCTATGTTCAATATTATTTGTACTATTACTTTCACCAACCTAATAAACAACACTAAGGTTGATAATGCAGCACAAATGCCATTAAGCATCTCACTTCCAAATTCTTTTTAATCCTATACCTAACACAAAGACCACCAAATTTTCTTCCATCTTTTGAACCATAAAGTAGAAAACAGATGACTACAAATCAGAAAGCAGATGTCAAAACCAACAACTAGAAAGCAGAGTTGACCAACAACCAGAGTATTAGCATTCACAGCACAATCTAATGAAAGTATTTATGTAAACATCCTTGCTAAAGAATCAATCACAGCTATCAAGCATATCACTAGCATATCAAGAATCAGAGTATTAGCATTCACTAAGACAATATAATCAAAGTAAATGTTCCAACAATTAATAGCTGCAATAATGTGATGAGTCTGCAATACAACAACAACAACAACAAAGCCTTTTCCCACTAAGTGGGGTCGGCTATATGAATCCTAGAACGCCATTGCGCTCGGTTTTATGTCATGTCCTCCGTTAGATCCAAGTACTCTAAGCCTTTTCTTAGAGTCTCTTCCAAAGTTTTCCTAGGTCTTCCTCTACCCCTTCGGCCCTGAACCTCTGTCCCGTAGTCACATCTTCGAACCGGAGCGTCAGTCGGCCTTCTTTGCACATGTCCAAATCACCGGAACCGATTTTCTCTCATCTTTCCTTCAATTTCGGCTACTCCTACTTTACCTCGGATATCCTCATTCTCAATCTTATCCTTTCTCGTGTGCCCACACATCCCACGAAGCATCCTCATCTCTGCTACACCCATTTTGTGTACGTGTTGATGTTTCACCGCCCGACATTCTATGCCATACAACATCGCTGGCCTTATTGCCGTCTTATAAAATTTTCCCTTGAGCTTCAGTGGCCTACGACGGTCACACAACATGCTGGATGCACTCTTACACTTCATCCATCCAGCTCGTATTCTATGGTTGAGATCTCCATCTAATTCTCCGTTCTCTTGTAAGATAGATCCTAGGTAGCGAAAACGGTCGCTTTTTGTGATCTTCGCTAAATTGCTCCGGTCATTAGTGTGGATAAGTAGTATATAAATGGATAGAGATAGGAAAGCAAACACAAGATGTACGTGGTTCACACCCAGATTGGCTACGTCCACGGAATAGAAGAGTTCTCATTAATTGTGAAGGGTTTACACAAGTACATAGGTTCAAGCTCTCCTTTAGTGAGTACAAGTGAATGATTTAGTACAAATGACATTAGAGTACAAATGACATTAGGAAATATTGTGGGAGAATGATCTCGTAATCACGAAACTTCTAAGTATCGGAGTGTGGTATCGACTTGCCTTATCTGTCTCATAGGTAGATGTGGCAGCTTCTCTGGAAGTACTCTTCCTCCATCCAGGGGTGGTATCTTTAACTGGTGAAGATGCACAAGGTAATGTATCAATTTCACTTGAAGCTTACTTGTAGTTTCAGGCTTGGTCAAGCGCGATACAAACCATGTAGTAGGAGTCCCCCAAGTCGCCGAGCTAGGGGATTTGCTGAAAGAGGTGACAGACAAGGTAAGCAATCAGAGCTCCGGCTGATTGTTCACCTTCTCCCCATCTTGCAGCAGCATGAAGGATAAAGAGAAGAAAAATGAGAAGAGATGATATTGGATACTTTTGCTTTTGAAGAAGTAACTTTCCACAGGCTTATTCTTGAACTGAGCTGGAGGGTTTTCTGGTTTCCTCCAGAGTATAAGGCCGACTGAAGAATTTGAGGGTCAAAACAAGTCCATCAAATCTAGAGTACGTTCGACCCTGCTGATATGGGATACTTTTGCTTTTGACAGAGTAATGGATGGATCGGCACGTGTGCTGTTACGCTTGTCTCCACATGCTTCCTTGTATCTTTCGCACTTGCCCTATCTGTTCCTCAAGCAGATGCGGTATCTTCCCTGGCAACATAAGATGTTGAAGATGAGTACTCGAGAGCAATGCCAGGTAAGTAATCAGGTAAGGGGTTCCAGGCTGTCAGTTCCTGGCTGGGAGCTTGATTTCAAGTGCTGACTGATTGCTCTCTTTCTCCTTGTCTTGCAGGTAAAAACAAGGCCAAAGGAAAAGACAGGGAAAAAGCATGATATGGGATACTCTTGCTTTTAACCCTGATGATATGAGATATTCTTGCTCTAGTATAGCTTGTTTGCAGAGGTATTATCGGGGGGAAAGAAAGCTGAATATTTCGAAAGGCTTCATTGGGAGTGCCCTCTCAGATATGAGGAAGGGTTGAGCATTTTTGCAGGTCTGCCTGTCCGTTGGGGATGGAGGTCGACATATATAGGAGTCTCCCTAACAACAAGTAGTAATGCTATTCCTTTACCCTGCTTGGTCATAGCACGGTAGTGGGAGCTGCCAGCTTCACATGTTTTAACTCTGTCAGAGCACTTTGAAAAAGTGGTATGTGGTATCTGGCTCTCGAGATTCGGAGAACGATGCTTCTTCGATTTTTGAGAAAGCAATCATGGTGGGGGTCTGGCTCTCGAGATTCGGGGAGCAGTCTCTTCGATTTTTGAGAAAGTAATCATGTTGGGAGTCTGGCTCTCGAGATTCGGAAGGCGGTGCCTCTTCGATTTTGGAGTAAGCAATCTTGTTGGGAGTGTTTTCTCGGATGTGAGTAAAGGTTGGGCATGTTTGCTAGTCTACCTTGCCACGAAGCACGGAGGTTGACACACAGGGACTTTCCAATTATCCAGCAGTGGTACTGTTCCTTTACCCTTGTGGGTAATAATATGGTAGCTAGACCTTCAAAATTTATGTGTCTAAACTTTGTGAGTGCTGTTTCTTTGCTATTCTTTTACCTTTCTTGGTCAGAGCGATGTAGTGGGAGCTGCAAGCTTCACGTGCTCAACTTTGGCAGAGACTTTGACAAAGTTATCTGTGGTACCCATGAGCTATTGTTGCGTGTGGGAAGTGGGTGATTGAACAGTAAGATTCATGTGCTTTCTACTTCACCAGAAGTCTTCGACAGAATGCCCATAATTTCCGCAAAGCTGAGTGTGCGTGTGACAGGTGCTGACAAGGCTAGAAAAGAAGGTGCCTCTTTGATTTCTGAGATCGGCCCTCGTGGTCTCTGAGCAGCCCAGCTTTTGAGAAAGCGAGCGCCTCTTCGATTTTTGAGAAAACAATTATGTTGGGGGTCTGGCTCTCGAGATTCGGGGAGCAGTGTCTCTTCGATTTTTGAGAAAGTAATCATGTTGGGAGTCTGGCTCTCGAGATTCGGAGGGCGGTGCCTCTTCGATTTTAGAGCAAGCAATCTTGTTGGGAGTGTTTTCTCGAATGTGAGTAAAGGTTGGGCATGTTTGCTAGTCTACCTTGCCACGAAGCACAGAGGTTGACACACAGGGACTTTCCAATTATCCAGCAATGGTACTGTTCCTTTACCCATCTCTTCGATTTTTGAGAAAGTAGTCATGTTGGGAGTCTGGCTCTCGAGATTCGGAGGACGGTGCCTCTTCGATTTTGGAGCAAGCAATCTTATTGGGAGTGTTTTCTCGAATGTGAGTAAAGGTTGGGCATGTTTGCTAGTCTACCTTGCCACGAGGCACAGAGGTTGACACACAGGGACTTTCCAATTATCCAACAGTGGTACTGTTCCTTTACCCTTGTGGGTAATAATATGGTAGCTAGACCTTCAAAATTTATGGGTCTAAACTTTGTTAGTGCTGTTTCTTTGCTATTCTTTTACCCTTCTTGGTCAGAGCGATGTAGTGGGAGCTGCAAGCTTCACGTGCTCAACTTTGGCAGAGAACTTTGGCAAAGTTATCTGTGGTACCCATGAGCTATTGTTGCGTGTGGGAAGTGGAGTGATTGGAACAGTAAGATTCATGTGTTTTCTACTTCCCCAGAAGTCTTCGACAGAGAATACCCATAATTTCCGCAAAGCTGAGTGTGCGTGTGACAGGTGCTGACAAGGCTGGAAAAGTAGGTGCCTCTTCGATTTCTGAGATCGGCCCTCGTGGTCTCTGAGGAGCCCAGCTTTTGAGGAAGCGAGCGCCTCTTCGATTTCTGAGATCGACTTTCGTGGTCTTTGAGCAGCCCAACTTTTGAGAAAGCAAACACCTCTTCGATTTATGAGATCAACCCTCGTGGTCTCTAAGCAGCCCAGCTTTTGAGAAAGCAAACGCCTCTTCGATTTCTGAGCAGGCGCCTCTTCGATGTCTGAAGCTCCGTCGAGTGCAGCTTTTTATAGGGGCTGGCATTAAGTTCCAAAGCACACTTGAATCTCCACCAGTAGAAGCTCCATTCTTGCACTTCTAAGATCTTGATTTGTCCGACCTCTTCTCTCTTCAATACCTTTGAAAAATGTCTGGCCCCTCCGACCGTCGTTTTGACTTGAACCTTGTTGAAGAGGCAGCCCCGCCTTCTCCAGACAACATATGGCGCCCATCCTTCGTCTCCCCTACTGGTCCTCTACCGTTGGGGATTCCGTGATGAAGAATGATATGACCGCTGCGGTGGTGGCCAGGAACCTTCTCACTCCCAAAGATAACAGACTACTTTCCAAACGGTCTGATGAGTTAGCTGTTAAGGATTCACTGGCTCTCAGTGTTCAGTGTGCAGGTTCTGTGTCTAATATGGCCCAACGCCTATTTGCTCGAACCCGCCAAGTTGAATCATTGGCGGCCGAAGTGATGAGTCTCAAACAGGAGATTAGAGGGCTCAAGCATGAGAATAAACAGTTGCACCGGCTCGCACATGACTATGCTACAAACATGAAGAGGAAGCTTGACCAGATGAAGGAAACTGATGGTCAGGTTTTACTTGATCATCAGAGATTTGTGGGTTTGTTCCAAAGGCATTTATTGCCTTCGTCTTCTGGGGCTGTA